ACCAGGTCCAACAAATGGGTGTTTGGGTTGTTTCCCATCTTTAAAATAAAATGTCCTAGTCTTATTTGACTTAGATCATGTAGACTTTCAGGACACTGGAAAACACAGAGGTGAGTAGGACATAGCTGTTCCCTTTAAGGAGCTGAGCATCTTCCTGCCAACCTGTAATTATAATTGAATAAGAGATATTTTGCTTTGCTTTTCATTAAAAATGGTGGATGTGCAAGTTTCAGGTCAGACCCAGAAAGGTGTTCTGTCTTTTGGTTGTAAATGGGCCATCCATGTTTGTGACCCTCCTGAGGGTACCTTAGATGTGATGTCCTTATACTAGGTGTGGGTTGGAGCAGAGGCAAGATGCAGTATGTATGAAACTTTATCTGTGCTTGTTCTACAGTTTTGTACTAATTGCTTCCTTTATGCATCCTTTATTTAGCTTGATAACTATGGACAGCAAGAACTTGGGGATCTTTTTGTGAACTATAATGTAAAATCCCCTACTACTGGAAATGATCTGTCCCCTCCAGTACCTTTTAACTTAATGTTCAAGACCTTCATTGGGCCTGGAGGAAACATGCCTGGGTATGTATTGCTTATTGTTTTTGTGTTTAGCAGAATTATTAAAGTTGCCTGTGACAAAAGGTAAGACTCAGCACATTGAGGGAGAAATACTGCACTTTCAAATACAAGTGCATGCTCAGTGAGGTTTTTGTATATGTTCACTTGTTATTAAATAAATACAGAAGTCCATGGTGCCATACCTTCCAGCTCTAACTGCATAGGGCAGAAGGGAGAGGGTTTTTTCATGTCATTGTGTGTAGAAATACACTTCAGAAGTGATTGTGTCCAGCAGAGCTTTCCTCACTGGAGTTACATGCTCCTGGACCCATGCACTGCTTCCATTGGAAACCACAGTCAGACGGGGCTGCCAAGATAACATCACATGGAGCCAGTGATTCTGAGGAGTAGAACTGAAAAATCGATTTCACTTTAAACAGGCATGTGTCTAGTAGTGGCCTGTCGTATTATAAAATGTGGCCTATTGATTTGAAAGATGCAGTTTTTACAGAAGCAAAGCTGAGCATTATACAGTGTGACACAGAGTTGAGGCTGGCTCTGTGTGCCCTTTTCACTGTTGACGTAGTTCAGCCATTTTTCCTTTGCATATCATCAGTGTTGGTTGGTTGGTTGGTTGGTTGGTTGGTTGGTTGTTTTTTGGTTTTTTGCTACAAGGTCTCCCTGTAGCTCCACTTGGCCTGGAACTAGCTATGTAAACCAGACTGACCTTGAACTCAGAGATCTGCTTCCCTCTGCCTCCCAAGTGCTGGGATTAATAACGTAACATGAATCTCCTGGCCTGCAGTTGTGTCTTGTTTATTTGTTATAAAAGTCGTAGGTTTCATTGTGGCATTTTCATACATTTCTTACATTGTAGGGTAAGATGGTGGGCTATTGCTAGAAGGTGGCCATACCTGGTGAAGTAGAAATCAAAGTATAATAAAAAGTAATTGTGACAAAATATGCTACTTTTTTTTTTATAAGACACCAGGTTGGTTTGGTATATTTTGTGGGAAGTGATACAGGGTGATCTCTCAAGTTGATGGGACAGACTTCTTAACCCAGCTATTCTGTTTCTGGTAATTAAGGAAATAGTTCTTTTAATTTAGATTTTTTTTTTTATTTTACATTTACTTATGGGGGTGGGGGTACACATGCCAAGGCACTTGTGTGGGGTCAGAGGACAACTTGTGGGAGCCAGTTCTCTACATCTCACCATGTGGGATCTAAAGATTGAACTCAGGCCCATGGGTGTGGTAACAAGTGCTCTTACTCACTAAGCCATCTTGCCAACCCTTCAAGGAAAATAATACGAAAGAAAAGGAAGCACACTTAGACAAAGTGTGTTAGTTAAAAGTAGAAATAGGGGCTAGAGAGATGGCTCAGTGGTTAAGAGCACTGGCTGCTCTTGCAGAGGACCCAGCTTTGGTTCCCAGCACCCACACAGCATCTAACAACTGTCTCTAACTCCAGTTTGAGGTGATACGGTGCCCTCTTCTGGCATACACAGGCATTGCATACAGGTAATACACTTAAATACACACAGGGAAAGCATATATGTAAAATAAAGTCTTTAAAAGTAGAAATAACTTATTTGTCTATTAATCTGAGAGTGGTAAAGCTAATAATGAAGTATATCCTTTTAGTATAACACTCTGCTGCTGTTAATATAAGAGCATTTACAGTTATTCAAAAAGTAAGAAAGTAAGGGCTAGAGAGATGTCTCGGTGGTTAAGAGCACTGACTGCTCTTGCAGAAGACCCAAGTTTGATTCCCAGCACCCACATGGCAGGTAATAACTGTCTATAACTCTAGTTCTAGGAGATCCTATGCCCTCATCTGACCTCCAAGGGCATTGCATGACAAGGGTGCATTTACACACATACAGGCAATACACTCCTATGCATAAAATAAAAAATAAATAATATATAACAAGTAGAAAAGTATAAAATAAGTGCAGGAAGTAACAGTCTCGTGCATACTACTTACAGATATCATATAAATTGTAGCTGCACTTACATTTGAATGAAACACTGAAGGGACCACAAAAATGAACAGTCTGTTAGAGTGCAAAGCGGGTAATGTTTTTCTTGGTTTTCAAATTGTTTTAGTAGTTTTTATAATTTATAGTTGATTTTTTGTGATTTTCATATATTATGGTGGTATTATATCCTCTCCCCGGGGCTGGAGAGATGGCTCAGCGGTTAAGAACACTGGCTGTTCTTGCAAAAGACCCAGGTTCAAATCCCAGCACCCACATCGCAGCTAACAACTGTCCGTAACTCCAGTTCCAGGGGATCCGACAGCCTCTTCTGTCTCCGTGGGCATTGCATGACACGGTGTACTTACCTACATGCAGGCAATACACGTGTACATATAAAATAAAAATAATAAATAAAATATTTTTTAAAAAAATAATAAAAAATTAAAAATAGATCCTCTCCCCTATCTGCACCTCCATTACTGCACCCCACCCAATTTATTGTACTCTTATATACATAATAAGGCCTGTAGAGTATAATTGTGTTCTCGTGTCCTTCAGTGTGGGTCCATCCACTGGGGCCTGGTTAAGCTACCAAGATCATAACCTTGACAAAGACGATAGCCATTGGTTTTAGTATTTTGAAGTAGGCAACTGGGAACACTTTCTTAGTGAATGTTTCATGCAGAATATTTTCTCTGAAATTGAGGAGAGGGTGATGGCTGTAATACTGATAAACTGCCAGAAATAAAATAGTAGAAGAAACCTTGAAAATGACCTGACTTGGTTAATGATAAATAAGTGGGTTCTAATGTGAATTTTAGTCTAGACAAACTTCTTTTTGGTCCTGCAGTTATATCTTAGTCCATGTGTTGAAAGAAGTGCTTTTAGCCATGAGAGGGGAGGAGATGCTCTTGTGGAAAGCAAAGGCAAGGAGAAATGAAAGGAAAAAAGAGTGGAATACCTGTGACAGGGAGGCAGAAGAGGCACTGACCGGTCCTGGGAGGGAACAGCAGAAGTAGGGAGAGGATGGAGGAGGCAGCTGGACAAACTAGGAAAAGAAGATGACATATGGGTATGAGAATGCCATCATGAAACCCATGACCAATGCTAACTTAAAGTGAATTAAAAATCTGCTTAGGCACAGGTCTTATTCTCAGAAGGAACTGAATTCAGTCTGCCTCCATGTAGATGATTGATTGCTCAGGAGGCTGGCAGAGACCTGAGGGCAGTCAGAGAAGGGACCTGGAGTAGGAGCAGCAGCACAGCTGGCAGTGTAGCGGCCATCCCTCTTGCTTAATCCAGTCTCCCATGGTGTGTTGAGAACAGTCTCTTTTAAAACTTGATTTTAAGACCTGTACATGCTTTGTGGTAAATGTGGTATAGTTGATATTTTGTTTGTAATTGGATTGTCTGTTTTTTGGAAACCATAATTTCCTTCTTTGTAACAGACAGATTTATTTAAATTTATAGCTATTTGAGACCAGAAACTGCACAGGGGATTTTTCTGAATTTCAAACGACTTTTGGAATTCAACCAAGGAAAGTTGCCTTTTGCTGCTGCCCAGATTGGAAATTCCTTTAGAAATGAGATCTCCCCTCGGTCTGGACTGATCCGAGTCAGGTACTGCTGTTGACACTGAATTGGGGATGAAAATGCATTTAACTAATACACTTAGACTTTAAGCCTAATTATGGGTTTATTTTTGCCTTCTTCAGAAAGCATGCTTGGAGCTGGGTGTGATGGTGCATGCCTTTAGTCCCAGCACTCAGGAGGCAGAAGCAGGTGGAGCTCTGTGAGGCCAGCCTCTGGTCTACATAGTGAATTCCAGGCCAGCTAAGGCTACACAATGAGGTCCTATTTCAATAAAATGAACCAAACTAAAACAAAAGAGAAAAAAACAAAAAGGTTGCTTGGGGCTGGAGGGGTGGCTCAGCAATTAAGAGCACTTGCTGCTCTTGCAGAGGACCCAGGTTTGGTTCCCAGCACTCACAATCAGGCAGCTCAAAACCACCTATAGCTCCAGTTCTAGGGGATCTAATTCCCTCTTCTGGCCTCCAAGGACCACTGTATGTATGTGGTGCACGTACAGTCAGGCACACACACACACACACACACACACACCATAAAAATAAATAAAATAAAGCATGCTTTACATTTATAATCTACAAATGTAATCTCTGGGGAGGCTGGCAGTTATGAGTGATGAAAGCAAATTAGAAGGGAAAAGAAGGTGTGTGGGAAGTATGTTATGGTTCCTGCCTGTTCCAAAATTAACTTTTCCTTGCTCATCATCAGTTTTGAGGATTCAGACATACTGATGTCTAAACCAAGGTGTTTTAGCAATGAAGATGTGTGCTAATTGCAGGGTGGAGGTAGGGTGATGGTTATAAAGTGGCTATGAGGTGGCCAGGGCAGACAGCACTACTAGGGGGTGTGTCCTGGGTGCCACCTCTGGGCATTTAAGGGACATTATGACAAAGGGCAGCTAGCAAGCTAATCCTGTCTGCGTATTCCCTGTCAGATGAGCTGCCGTGCCTGGCAGGCCCAGTGTGTGAGAAGCACACTGGCACTGTGTAGTCTGCCTTCTCTAGACACTTGTTATGATTGCTATGTACTTGCTTCCTGATACCATCTTTCTATATAAAAATAGCCTATGTCACTCCAGGACATTGGCCCCTTCATTATCTCTCTTCTCTTCTTACTGTAACTATGGAAATTGTTTTCAAGATGCATATTGACATATGCATTGTGAAATGATTACCATAATCAAGCTAATTAACATCTATCATTTCACATTGTTTTACATTTTTATTCTGGTGGTAAGAACACTTTAGTATCTCTCAAGTTTCAGCTATATAGTGCATTATTAATAATAGCTGCTGTGAGAAACTTCCAACAGAAGAGATGGAAAGACTTTGGCATCACCATTTCTGGGCAGGGCCCTTCGTTTGTCTGTCCTGCACTGTAGATGTTCACTTCCTGTCAGCCCAGGTAAAAGCTACTTGAGTATGCAGCAGTGCACTCATCTCTCTCTTGTTTTGTGCCACAGACATGCTTAACAGTTGTTGGAAGGTGGTTAACACATAGGTGCTGGAGGAACAAATAAAAGAAGCCATTAACAAAATCCAAAAATTAGAGCTCATTGCAATGCGTGTCATATATTTTAGGACCAACTTGAGCAATTTTACATTGCTTCTAAAACATCTGAGATAATTGAGAGTATGCCAGTGTCTTCTTTTTAAAGATTTTTGACTCATAAAATTGAAGCACTCTCCCTCCCCCTGTAATAGCTACTAAATTGCCATTCAGAGAAATCTCTTTGGAAAACCATTAGTATGTGCATATTTACGTCATCATTATGTGGTGAGCTTGATGCTGGGTTGTTCAGTTCCTGAACAAGCCCGGTGTCCTCTACCTTGAATGATGCTGTATTTAGAAGCTCTGGCTCTAAAGAGACCATCTGTATGGCACCATTTCCAGCCATTTACTTGTTTGGATCTGCAAAGCAGAAATCAAACTGTTTTAAAATCTGAAGAACCATTCCGCTTCACTTTTAATTCCTTATTCTTTGAAAAGTAAATGCCTGTGGCCTCCTTCAGCATATATTTATAATGAAGAAGCTAATGATTGACGCAGAACCAATTGATTTGAATGTGACTTTAGCATCTCTTCTCTGTGTCTGCATTTACTTATGCTTTTCTAATTTTAAAAGCTATTTAATCTGCTTCTAAAAATTATTTTCAGTTGTACTCTTGGATGTGGCTACATGGAAGGAATTAATATTTAAGAAGTTTGTTGTTAAAATTGTTGTTATTTCTATTATTACTGTGGTATGATGGATTAAACCCAAGGTCTTGAACATGCTAAGCATGCCCCTACACTGTGCTATGCCCCAGGCCAGTTATTAATGGTCTAAAGATAGCAAACACCTGCACAAACCTAATCTAGGAGCCTTTGAGTCATTCCCTTAAAAAACCAGTGTTCTATTTACTGATAAGAGATCCCTATAGTTTGGACCCTCCATCCATAGAGAATTTAGTAGTTGGAAATAGGAGCCTTATTGATAAGTCTTATAGTTAAGCATACAGATTTTATCTCTCATATGTTTTTCTCTTTCAGGGAATTCACAATGGCAGAAATTGAGCACTTTGTAGACCCCAACGAGAAAGACCACCCCAAGTTCCAGAGTGTAGCAGACCTCCACCTTAATTTGTATTCAGCAAAAGCCCAGGTCAGCGGACAGTCTGCTCGGAAAATGCGTCTAGGAGATGCTGTTGAGCAGGTAAGGTTCTGGAGGGAACTTAGATAATGTCTGATTGGGGGTGACAGCACTTAGCAAATTCTTTGTGTGCTAGGTAACAAAATATTTTACTGCAGTGGTAATTTTATTTTACTTATGTGGATTTTGCTTATGTGGCAATGTTGGAGGTCAAATTCAGAGCCTTGCACATGTTTGGCCAGCACACTGAACTACATTCTCAGCCCCTATTACAGTTTTGGGTTTTGTGGTGCTAGTGATCAAACCCAGGGCCTTGTATACACTTAACAAGTGCTCTAGCACTAAGCTATATCCCTAGTCCCCATTTAGTATTTGTTTTTTAAAAAAGTATTGTGTGTATGAGTGCATTACCTGCATGTGTGTAAGTGTACCCGTGTTGTGCAGTGCTTGCAGAGGTCAGAAGGCAGCATCAGATCCCCATTTGTTCCTGGAACTGGAACAAATGGTTTTTGGGTGCTATGAGGGTGCCGAGAATCAAACCTGGGACCTCTGCAAGAGCAGCCATTGCGCCTAACTACTGACCCATCTCCAGCCCCACTGTTTGTTTTTATATAGAATTTATTGTACAGTATTATTATTTTAGGAGAAAAATCCTCTGAGACTCCCAGTTCTGGGCCATGGTGCTAACATTACAAAATGCTTAGTTTTAACGCTACATCACTGATCCAACTTTAACAACTTTGGAGGAGACAGAATTTGCTCAAGGAAAGCAAGCCCTCTGGTTCTAAGTCCTTCTGTATTGCCCACAGAAAAGGGTAATGCCTTCTGTAGAACCAAATTTCTTTACACACTGCTTGGAGAAATAAGTGAGTGAAAACCTCCTCATTAGCTGCTGAGCTTCCTGGGCCTGAGAGTATTCATGGAGAGGTTGCAGAGAACCACCTTGCAGTGGTTGGAGGTGGGACTAGATGATTTCCAAGTGCCTTTTAGGACTAGATTTGTAAAATGACATGTACATGTGGAGCTGATGAATTGCAGTGAGTAGGACTACATTAGAATCTTCTCCACATGTCCCATTACTTTGTGAATATAAATTACAGTCATTTGTGACTAGATTTAGGAAATATGTGTTAGGAGGCTGATGTGCTGAACTAGTTGAGTTGTTGGATAGATACATTGACTATATTTTGAATAATTTGATTTTAACTTGTTAACTTGACATTAACTCCTTTAAAAAGAAACCAAGATCGCCCAGCGTGATGGTGTACGCCTTTAATCCCAGCACTTGGGAGGCAGAGGCAGGCGGATCTCTGTGAGTTGAAGGCCAGCCTGGTCTACAGCTCTAGGACAGCTGGGGCTACAGGGAGACCCTGTCTCAAAAAGACCAAAAAAATAAAAGAAAGAAAGAAACCAAGATCACATTGTGGGTATTTGAAATTGTTCTGAAAGCAGGAAAAAGTTTACCTTGTTTAATTTTTTAGTAAACTATAAATGACTCAGTAGCAGATAGTGCTTTAGCCTTCAGAGGTGTTCACGCATGTTTTTTCCCTTGCTTAGGGTGTGATTAACAACTCAGTGTTGGGCTATTTCATTGGCCGCATCTACCTCTACCTCGTGAAGGTTGGAGTGTCTCCTGATAAACTCCGCTTCCGACAGCACATGGAGAACGAGATGGCCCATTACGCCTGTGACTGTTGGGATGCTGAGTCCAAAACGTCCTATGTAAGTAGAATGCAGCGAGGTTTTCACAGCTCCGGCACATTCTTCATGCCAGAGTGATCACAGAGGAGAGATGTTTTCTTGAATAAGCCAGAAAAGGTTGACTTCTGTCTCCTTGTAAAGAGGGGCTGCTCTGTGTCCGAGAGAAGGTTTGGGAAACCTAGGTAGCTGCTTTCCACAGAGAAGGGTGGCACAGATGTGTCTGTTGCTGGGTGAACAGTGTTTCTGTAATGCTCCTTGGTGGAGCTGAGATGGCGTGGCCTCCTGACAAGGATCCCAACAAACACTGTCAAGGGTTAAAAAAGGAAACTCAGAGAGTTCTAGGTCACCTCCCCACTAATCCCAGCGTGCATTTTTGATGCCTCTTCACCCATACAGAGAGCAACTACTGTAGTGCAGGGTTAGCATGGGGTCACTGATTTTTTTTTTTTTTATGGATTTAAAAACAAAAGAAAAAGCCACAGACCCTTCTATGTTGCTCGGGCTGGCCTTAAACCCTCGAACCTCTTATCTCAGCCTCCTGAGTGCTGGGTTACAAGCAGGACTTGCCACAGCTGCCTTAAAAGTGTTGCAGCGTCTTTCTCTTTATTTTCTAATTAAAAATAAAAAGCCATCATACTCAAAAAGGTAGTGCCTTCTTTTTATAAGACAGAAAGGCAAAGACTGTTATAAGAATATTAATTAGAAAATGAAATTTCTAATTGCCTTCCTCTCCCTAGCAGACATTTTTATAAAAGGCCAAGTAGGAAAGATGGTTAGGTGGTTAAGAGTATTTGCTGATCTTGAAAAGGACCTGACTTTGGTTCCCAGTACCTACGTTGGGTGGTTCATAACTGCTTTTACCTCTAGCTCCAGGAAATCTAGTACCTTATTTTGGCTTCCTCAGGCACCCACACACGTGGCAAATGCACACACAAACATACACATAAAAATAAGCCATTTTTAAAAAAGGCCAAGTAGTAACTATATTTTGGTTTGTGGGTCTCCATTATTTTGCATTTCTTTTTTTTTTTTGCAACTGTTTAGATATGTAAACACCATTCAGTATTGTAAATCTGGGCATGCTGAACTTTTCTAGATGATTTTGGTTTTGTTTGTATTTTGAGACAGGACTTCTCCGTATAGCCCAGGTTGGCCTGGAACTCACAGTGATCCTCTTGATCATCCCCTCCCAGTCCTGGGCCATAGGCATGTGCCACCATGCCCATTTTCTACATGGTTTTTCTTTTCTTTCTTCTTTTTTTTATCTTTTTGAGAAAGGGTCTCCCTGTAGGCCCAGCTGGCCTGACACTAACTGTGTAGACCAGGCTGGCCTTGAACTCACAGAGATCCTCCTGCATGCTGGATTAAAGCCATGCACCATCATGCCCATCTGATGATTTTTCTACGTATGACAAATATGCGTAAGTATGTGATAATATGCATATCTCTATAGGAGCTGGATTTGTTTTGTTTTGTTTATGCAGGGGTAGAGTCTTATGTATGCTAGGCTGGACTCAAACTATTTAGCTGAGGCTGGCCTTGAATTCCTAATCCTTATGTCTTCACTTGTTAAGTGTTGGGATTACAGGTGTGCAGTTGCTATATTGATACTGCTTTTAATATATTCTTTTCTTCCTTTGTGGAATCAGGAAAGAATTAATATAATTTGTTCAGCTTTTCTTTCACTTTATTTTCTTAGCAAGCTTGTACCTTTCCTGGGGAGGCATACAGAAATGCTTATCCATCCCAGACAGGTACAACAAACCAGAGATAGTTCCTTTCAAGTCCAGCTTGTTGAACTAATGAATTTATTGAGTTACTTTCAGGTGGTTGGGTAAGCTTGGGCAGCATCATCACCAGGAGGCTCCATTCCACCATGGGTAGCAATCAGGAGAACTGCAGGTTCCTTTTGCACTTGGCAGGCTAGGCCAGAGGAATCTCTTTTCCTCAGTAATGGTACAGCCTAGGTCCCCTGAGTCAGGGCCTCTTGAGTCTTAAGAGTTCATGTGCTTCTTAGGCTTTCTGAATTCTGGTGAATGTCATGAGCCTCAGTCTCCCCCCTTTCTACAGGAAAGAATGTTTGAACTAGAAGAGGAAACCACTCCCCAACATGTACCAGCATGATAGTAATTAAGAGTTTAGGTATTCATTTCTTTATACTTGCTGAATTTTCTGAAAGTTTCTTATTCATGTTAAACCAATAATTTTTTTTTTCTTTTGTAGAAGAATTTGTCTGCTTTTCTCTTTTTTACCCCAGTTCTCTATTGGCTTAATTTGAGAACAGATCAAATTCCAAAACTAGCTGTCTGTTGAGATTCTGAGCCTAGCCTACTGATCTCTGATTTCATGTGTTTATTCTGCATTTGTAGTAGTGACAAGCATGTTCCCCTGTGAGTGCTTTACTTGTATCTTACATAATCCTTAAGATGATCTGTTCATCAATGCTCTTTCTGAGGAAACTGAAGGACTGATACATCAAGAAATTCTCCTGGGTCCCAGGTTAGGAAGTAGTGGAGGTGGCCTAGGAACCAGATCGTCTTGACCCCGGGCCCAAGTCTTCCGTGTTTATGCTGCCCTGCCTCCTGCCTGCTGACCTTGGAGTGTCCTGTGAGGAGGTGGATCCAAACATAAGGTCCTCCAGGCAACCAGGAGTTTTCTGCTGTGGTCTTAGAAGTCAGGACTACATAAAAGCAAAGCTTTGGAGTCACAAAGAGGGGAGGACTGTAAAGACTGGTTTTGTTTTGCTTTGTTGAGATAGAATCTCACTATGTACCCTAGACCTAGCCTAGAACTTGCTATGGAACCCAGCCTTGCCTGGAACGTGTGATCCTCCTGCAGTAGCCTCCTAAATGCTGAGGTTACAGGCATGTGCCCGCTGCTTTGCCCTCACCTTTAAAGACTTTGAGGTTTTCTTTTTGCGTGCTTCTCTCTGTAGGTAGATAAAAAATAGATATAGATAGATTAGGTAAGATAGATGAAAAAAAGTCACTGTTAACCCCATTTTCCTCTTTTCCTTCTTTTTCTGAGAGGGTAACCTGTATCTCAGTTACATTCCCAGCTGTATTTTATAATTTTAACCTTTAATTTATAAGTATGATAATGACACATTAGTAAATGATAACAAAACAAGCTATGTGTTTAAGAACATAAATAATGCTCATTGATATGTTACACAGTGAATGTCATATTGTATTACATGTTTTCAGACTTTATTCTTGGTTTTCAGCACTTTGTTAGTTTTCAGATTTCTAAGCTTATGAGTTTTATAATGTGTATGAGTGTTTTGCTTGCATGTAAGTGCACTGTGTATGTGCAGTACCTGCAGAGGCCGTAAGAGGACATGAGATCCCTGGAACTGGAGTTATTGATGGTTGTGAGCTATGGATGTTGGGAACCGAACTCGGGTCCTCTGCAAGAGCCGCTCTTAACCACTGAGCCATCTTTTCAGCCCTGATACATAATATATCCTTAAGGATGTGCCTTAGTTTGTGCTGCTATAACAGAGTACAACAGATATTGTAACAGTTCTAGAAGGTAGAAGTTCAAGAACAGGGGAGACCAGCCCATGCTGGTTTTGGTAGACCTCTTCACTGGGCTGACAGTTGGCATCTTCTTTCATCCTCACCTGATGGAAAGAGGGCAGGAACTCTCTCTGCTGAGTTTTCTGACAAAGAGCACTAATACCGTTGATTACTACCTTCCTGACCTAATAATAACTTCCTAATGGTTCTGCCTCCTGATAACCATTTCATCAAAAGTAAGGATGTCAGTACAGGAATTTAGGGGAGACACAAGCAGTTTGTTGTATGCTATTTGAGAAGAATTTTTTTTTTGCATTATCATATTATTAAAAACCAGAATCTAGCACCAATGCGATGATAATATTGCTATTGAATTTTATTCTGTGATCCAACCATTACCTACATTTATGGGTTTTCTTTTGTTCAATTAAGTGTTATGTGTCAGTAAGTCATCTAATAGCAAGGTGTGAGAACTGGAGGCACTTCCTCGAGGAAGTAGGAATTTCTGCCACATTTGTTTTGAGTCTTGGTTACAAATTTGAGCTAAGTCTATAAGCTTTGTGTAGGCTAAGTCTAATTCCATAATTGACTTGCAGAGTATTAGTGTACTGCACAGTTGAAATATGACATTGTAAATTAGTCTGGAAGATATGGACGGCTACATTGTGTACAGTGTGGATTATATTTTATAGACATGTTAATTGCCTCTGTATAAAACTATTCTCATTTTAATAATTTATAAGACTTGATTGGAATTGCCCCTGAATATCTGAAAGGGTTAGTTATAGTCTGTATGCTTCATGAACAGGCCAGTGTAAGCAGTAAGTGGGTTTATTGGTTCTGTCTTCTTAGGGCTGGATTGAGATTGTTGGATGTGCCGATCGTTCCTGTTACGACCTCTCCTGTCATGCACAAGCCACCAAAGTTCCACTTGTAGCTGAGAAACCTCTAAAAGAACCTATATCCTTTCTGGTTGCTCGAAACTTAAGGCTAAAGACATGAGTCCAACTTTGCACCTTGTTCTGTACATGATTGGAGAGGTTTGAATCCTGCCCCTGCTTGTTGAAACCTGTTGGTTGGTTTCCTTCCTCATTGCTCTTTTCCTGGTCTTATACTTAGGACCTACTGTATGCTTGCAGTGTTTAACCTTTAAAGGTACATATTTAGGGCTGGAGAGAGGGCTCAGTGGTTAAGAGCACTGGGGTTTGAACCCCTGCACCCCCTTGGTGGCTAACAACCATTTGTAACTACAGTTCCAGGGTATCTGATGCTCTCTTCTGTCATTTGTGGGCACTGCATGATGGGGTGCACTTATATACGTGCAGGCAAGGCACTCATACACATAAAATTAAAATAATAAAGACATACATTTAGAAATATGCCCGGAATGTCTTTCAGGGTGTTTGTTAAATTTTCTTAACTTTCTGAAATGCATTTCTTTACACTACTACCTGTGTACCCCTAAAGGATACTTGATGAACACTTACTTTGCTAAAACCTGGATGCCATTTTAAGATAATTTAGCTCACCCACACTGTAAATTAGCAAAGTAGTTTTTCTTTACCTGGCACTGAGATGTAAGCTAATTTCTGAGGGTTGGCCACTGACAAAAACCAGATTTTGTAAATGACATATGTGTGTGTGTGTGTGTGTGTGTGTGTGTGTGTGTGTGTGTGTCACATCGCATTTGTGAGATCAGAGGACAGCTTTAAGGAGTTGGTTCTGTCCGTTCACCATGTGAGTACATCAGCCTTGGCATCAAGCGCACTTTTTACCTGTTGAGCTGTCTCACCGGCTCAAGAAGCAGATCTGATTGTTTTGAACATTTTAAAAATGAATAGGTCATTACCAAAAGTTTGTATACTATGGTTTGAGTTACTGCTGGTTATATACTGCACCTTTTATCACACTATAACCTGAAAAGTTTTTTTGATGGTATGTATTTATCCTTTCTCTGTGTGTGGACTGTGTATGTGTTCATCTGTGCACAAGTGGAGGCCAGTGGTCCACATCAAGTGTCTTCCTCTAGTGGGTGCTGGGGATCTGAAATCAGATCCTCAAGCACTTTACCAACTGAGCCTTCTCCCTAGTCCCTGTTTGCTTAGGTAAGATTTGTCATAATGTTGTGTGTACCTATTTCATTTTGTACATAAAGCAGGAATAAACAGGATCTGGGATGCTGGCAGGACTGATGGTGGTTTTAACTTAATAACTGAGTGTTTTCAAGGTTGTTTTCCAAAATACTAAGGCACTGTTGTGTTGCGATTGATTCCTTGACTACTTCATACAAAACAGTGAATGTCATTCAGTTTGAACCTAATAAGGGAGCAGTTGGCAAGGCGTATAAGAAAGATGCCAAGCTGGTGATGGAGTACCTTAGCACCTGTGACGAATACTACATTACAGAAGTGGAGAAGCTGCTGAGTGAAAAAGGGTAAGGCCAAAGGTGCTCTTGTTCCTGGGCTCCAGTCAGGTGCATCTACTGCCCAGTTCTGAAAGCTAGGGTAAAAGCTGTTATTTTTAGAAATGTTCTGCAGGTAAGTGCTTGTCTTAGCTGCATTTAAGTAACTATCTTTGCTGGACTTTTGACATCATAACCTAGAAATACATTTGTTATTTTTATTTTTAAATATATTTTAATTATTATTTTTACTGTATGTGTTTTCATGTATTGCCTGCATGTAAGTGCACCCGTGTTCTGCAGTACCCACAGAAGACAGAAGAGGGCATCGGATCCCTCGAACTGGGGTTATGGACAGTTGTTAACTACCATTCAAACCTGGTCTTCTGCAAGAACAGTCAGTGCTCTTAACCACTGAGCCATCACTCTAGCCCCTGTTATTTTGTTTTAATGTATGAGTGGATTACCCGCATGTAAGTGCACCCATGTCATGCAGTGCCTGCAGAGGTCAGAAGAGGGCATCAGATCCCCTGGAACTGGAGTTTTGGACATTTGTTAGCTGCCATGTGGGTGCTGGGAATCAAACCCAGGTCCTCTGCAAGAGCAGCCAGTGCTCTTTACCACTGAGCCATCTCTCCAGCCCCCTAGAGATATATTTCAAACAGACGGTAAAGATCTATTTTCTTGATGCACAGGCCCTGGGTTTGATCCTCAGCACCACAAAAGAAAAACCAGGAACAAGTTCTTTCTTTGCTGGTAATGCTCTTAGAGGAGACTTAACCTAGTGCCTAAGAAAGAATTAGAAATTTTCTCTCCTTTCATTGCTCCTCTTTTGGAGGTATGGGGTTTCCTGTAGTCAGTATAGACATAAAATATAAAAAGTGATAGAGGAGGCTTTAAAGGAATATAATAAAATCCATCACCAAACAATGTAGAACCTAAGTAATAAAAAATTACTGCACATCTGTAAAAAAGCAGTGTCATGTGACTCAGGAAAACTAATTGAAAGAAAAACCCATGATTAATAAATATATAAAGATAGTTTCAAATGTGATTCTTGTTTTTAAGAATATAAAGGAGGGCCTGAAGAGGTTTCTTGCTGGTTGAGTGTTTCCTGCTCTTCTAGAGGACCCAAGTTCAGTTTCCAGACCCACTTGGTCCTAACTGCATACAGCCATCTGTAACTCTAGCTCCAAGGAATCTGATGCCCTCTTCTGGACTCTGTAAGCATCCACACACATGGGGTACACATTCATACACATACAAACACGCACACAAATAATAAATTCTTTTAAAAGCCTTTTTTAAAAAAAAGACATAAAGAACATAAGCTATAGTGAGAAGTGGTAGTGCATACATACAAAAATGAAATAGAGCCCCAGGAGTTACTGTCTAGATCACTGGATTCTAAGGATGCAGCATTAGAAGCTGTCGAACAAAACATCAGAGTAAGAAAGGGAATGCCCTGAGCAGCACCAGGCAGATGAACACTTGTGACAGTCGTATGTAACAAACAGAGCTGACAATAGAGCAGCTCACACAGTTCCAACTTTGATTAAAACTAGAAGTCTTGGCTGGAGAGATGGCTCAGCAGTTAAGAACACTGACTGTTCTTGCAGAAGACCCGGGTCCGAATCCCAGCACCCACATGGCAGCTAACAGCTGTCCAGAACTCCAGTTCCAGGGGATCCGACAGCCTCTTCTGTCCTCTGCGGGCATTGCATGGCACAGGTGCACTTACCTATACGCAGGCAATACACACATACACATAAAATTAAAATAATAAAATATTTTTTAAAAAAAACTTAGAAGTCTGTAGATTCAAGAACATAACCTCAAGCAGAATAAAGACAAAGAAAATCACATAAAAATAAAATAGCTAAAAATCAAGAATAAGAGAAAACTCTTAAAACAACCAGTGGGGAAGAAAAGGGCTCATTACATAGTAGCTGTTAAAGTATCTGAAGACAGAAGTACAAGCACCCGAAACCAGCAGAAGTGTCTTTGTAAACTGTGGAGTTTAGGCCTCCGCGAATTACTCCAGAGCTTTAAAAATGAGAAGTGTGGTGAATGTAAATGACGCTTCTCATAAATTCTTTAGAAGATAATGAACTGGGGATGGGGAGATGGCTCATGGGTAAAGGGCTCACCATCCAAGCATGAGGGTCTGAGTATGAATCCTTAGCAGCCCCATAAGCTGGCTCAGTGCCGTGCACCTTAACCCCAGCACTGGGGTGCAGATCTCAGGAGCCCAAGGACGATATCCCAGGGACAGCCTCTGGTCTTCACTCACATGGGTTCACATGCAGAAAGATAATGAACTGTTGGAAGCAAAATCGATCCATTAGACAATTCATACATGAAGCAAAACGTGTATCAGTAGTGCAGAGAGTGAGAGCAAATAACTGAGAACACGTAATAGACTAACTGGTATAATATTTGAAAGTAGACTATGATGAGTTGAAAAAAATGCATGTAGTAAACTCTAAAGCAGTTCCCTATAGAGAAAACATAAAAACTAGAGGCATAGCAGATATACCAGGGTTATAGGAAAAATACAGTGTTTTTTAAAACTCAGGATAAGGCTGGAAGGATAGCGCAGCTGTTAAAGGCTAAGGCTAACAATCAAAACGTTAAAACTCGGGATAAAAGGAATATGAAGGAGGAATAACTGGAACAGATAGAAAATAGCTAGTCAGATGGTAGGTTTGAACTAAAAAATATCCGTAGTTAACATTAAATATCATGGTTTAAGCACTGGAATTAATTGCCATCAATAATCTGATTTTAAAAAAAAATCCATGCTTGATTAAATGCTATCTATACCAAACTTACTGCAGTAGTAATACATAAATAGATTCAAAAGTAAAAAGATCAAAAATAAGCTGGGCATGGTGGCGCACGCCTGTAGTTACCGCACTTGGGAGGCAGAGGCAGGAGGATCTCTGAGTTCAAGGCCAGCCTAGTCTACATAGTGAGTTCCAGTACAGCTGGGGCTACAGGGAGACCCTGCTTCAAAAAGACAAAAAAGGAAAAAGATCAAAAATACTTTTGGCGCTGGTCATGGTGGTGCATGCCTTTAATCCTAGCTTTCAGGAGACAGAGGCAAGCGAATCTCTGTGAGTCTGAGGCCAGCCTGGTCTACTTAGTGAGTTCCAGGCCAGCCAGGGCTATATAAGTAAGACCCTGTCTCAGAAATATTAATAATAATATTAATATCAGATAAACTTTAGAACAAGAGAAATTAGAAAGTCAAAACAGGACATTTCATAATGATGAAGTTGGTTGACTAAGAGGTTATTATCAGTCCTAAATATTTCTGCAACTGAAAACACACAAGGCAAACCAAAAAACTGAAAGAAAGACTAGAGTTCTATGATTACTGTTGGAGGTATCTACAACTCGGGCAATAATGGAAGAGGAAGCAGATAAAATCTGTAGGAATTAGAAGACACAAATACTGTTAATCAATGTAATTTACCATTTGTAGAGCACTCCTTCTAATAATCAGAGTACATTTCTTAAAATGTATTTTAAATACCTGTCATCCTTTTTTTTTTTTTTAATATATAGACCTCCAGCTAAGAATGGTTTTTACATTTTCAAAGGGTTGTTTAAAACACACACACACATGGGCTGGAGAGATGGCTCAGTGGTTAAGAACACTGGTTGTTCTTGCAGAAGACCCAGGTTTTGAATCCCAGCACCCACATGGCAGCTAAAAACTATCCGTAATTCCAGTTCCAGGGGATCAGACAGCTTCTTCTGTCCTCCACAGGCATTGCACGACACGGGTGCACTTACCTACATGCAGGCAATACATGCATACACATAAAAATAATAATAAATATATAAAAAAACACACCCCAAAACACCAAAAATGTTACCTCCAGTCCTATCACAGTATTTAAGCTAAAGGAAAGACGCTTTACCCAAAAGCTTAGAAAAGGCAATCTAGTTAATTGTAATAGAAGGCAGATTTAATAGTGACTGGGAATGCGGAGTTGGAGGAGGGGAACTGGAGGCCATGGTGGTTGTATATGTATACCCGTTTGTCGACAACTGTCATGAATATTTGCATGTTAAAGATAATTAGCCATTTCAGCAGGAAAATGTTAATACATTTTTAGTCTTTGAGAAATAGCTTTATGCTGAAGTCATATCAAATAAAGGACATAGATCACTAGTTACATATCGATATCTGCAGATACAACAAATTGCTGTATTTAATATCAAATAGTAAGTTCTCCTTCCTAATTACAACTATTTTATACGTGTTATCTACTTTACACATAGACTGTGTTCATAGAGAAAATGTATGACACTGTATGTGGTGGAACTTTTATGTGCACTCACAAACTTCAAACCCAGTAGTAGAAACAGGAAGTCAATGAAAACTATTCAGATGAGGCATGAGATTGTGACTGGAAGAAACCTACAAAATGTGGTTGTACCAAGTACCTTCTCTGCAGCCACATGAGGGCTCTCTTTCTTAGTCCTGAGCTGCTGTGAGGCTAGAGAAACCAAACTGCTCTTCCTAATGGAAGTAAGCTAAAGTGTCGGGGTCTGTGGGTGCAGTGGTGAGCTCCAGCTGATCTTGGGCCGTGAACATTTGGTAGCCAGCAGGGGAATGTTTCATATTGACAGCAAACAACCAGAAAACTTTGTTAAAACTCACCTTTATAATGTGTAAGTTGCCTTCATTGTTTTGATGAGATGACAAGCTAGTTCATTTTATATTTGTTGAGACAATATAGGAAACAGTGATCATTTTACCTGCAGAGCTGTTTCTGACAAATCTGATTATTCTAAAACTGAGTATTTTGAAAAGTTGTTTTGATGTAATCTTGACATCAAGATCAGAAGAATTTGCCTTATGTCACTTGTGAAATTTAATAAAACTAGTCATTTTTTAGGTCCTCTGCAGAATGCTGTTTGGTGCCATTGTTAGGGTAATTCTCAGTTTGGTGGTTCTCATGAAATGATTTGAATTTGACTTGTCATCTGGAGGATTGACAAAGTTTGTTAGCACTTCAAACACAAAAACAAGTTAGTATCTGGGAAAAGGTTTTTAAGGCTCAGGACTGCATGTTTTCACTAACAGATAATGTGTTTTGTCTTTCTTGTTTGTTTTTAGGGAATTCACTATTGAAACTGAAGGGAAAACATTTCAGTTAACAAAAGACATGGTCAGCGTGAAGAGATTCCAGAAAACACTACATGGTAAATTTATAACAAATTAAAAAAAAAAAAAAAAAAAAACAGTAAAGAAACAAAAAGTCATTATTCCTGTTCTTTTTTTAAAAAGTTTTGTGACATAATCATTTTACATAAGTTTTGAAGAGAAAATACAACCTTAAAAGAGGGATGAGGAGTGCCAGAGAGATGGCTCAGTGGTTGGGACCAGATAAAACCCGAGATAGTTCCCAGCACTCACATGGTGGTTTGCAGCTGTCCTAACTCCAGTTCCTGGTGATCAGCACTCTCGTCTGGCCTCCATGGGAGCTGCATACATGTGGTGCATTTATATACATGCAGGCAAAACAGTCATACACAAAATAAATTTTAGAAAAAGGCATATTGAAAAGTGGTTTATAAATAATGCTTTTGTATTCCTGTTGCCTGAGGTGCATAGAAAGAATATCTTTGATTGAAAACTTTGTCACTTCAGGAAAAAATCCTTTTAAAGACACAAAATTCATGTTCTTTGTAGAGATGCTGACTTTTTTTTTTTTTTTTTTTTGAGAACAAATTCTGTGAATTGGATAGTGCATTTTGGAGCATACATGGAGGTTGCTGATGATTATCTGTCTAAAACAAAGCTCCTAGTAGTAGATACTGGGTTGCTCTGTTACTGGGATTTATTACACTTGTGGTGCTGTGGTCCCTGGCAAGCAGTCCTCGTGCCAGCATGATGTGTCTTCTGATAGGATGCATGAAGGAGAAACTATAATGATCAGCAAATTTTACTTGAGGGGAAAGCACCTTTCTTTGCAAGCATGTGGTAATGACTCCTTTATTACAGACAAAAGAAACAGCCTCTCTGTAGAACCATGAGTTGTTGGTCCTAGGTATTTCATTATCCATAAAGCATAAATTCTCCAAGTTCTCAAACCTGGGATCATATACTTGGTGCTTCCTTTCCATGTAGTAAGTTATGAATACATTTCCTGTGTCTGGCCTGTGGAAAGAGCTGTAGGGTCCTGGTAGACTATACTTGATGGAATGTTGGCCCCTGAACAGACTTGAACCCAGAGCCTCGAATACACAGCTCTGAAAAAGTTCTTTCCTCAACCCTCTTTTTTGCTTCTTGTTTTGAGAAGGGTCCTAAGTTGTCCAGGCTGGCTTTGAACTCACTGTAGCCCAAGCAGTCCTTGAACTCAATCCTGTCTCAGCCTTCTGAGTAGCTGGGATTTTAAGTCTGGCCTGGGTTTTGGCAGTTGATTTTTAAATCTTACTAAGTCTTAATGAAAGCTCAAGGTCCCATAGCTTCTGGAAAGCAGTGTGGATGGCAGTGAAGAGTATAACTACTGTTGTTTGTAGCCTATCAATGAGCAGGGCTGTGTAACTCAAGTTTATACTATTTGAACAAAGTCTTCCAAGTTGGGTGAAAATTCATTTGACTCTTTTCAAAGGTTCTGTATTTCTTACTAGCAAATAATTTTAAATAATCTGATTCTTGTCTTGCTGTACAGAGATCAAACTCTACCTAGAATATAGATATTTTTAGTGCCAAGAACTGTTTAGAAAGGATCTGAAATGCACTGTATGGTATTTGAGGGACTGTTACTGAATTTGTATTTCTTCTGCAGTGGAAGAAGTTGTCCCGAGTGTGATTGAGCCCTCCTTTGGCCTGGGCAGGATCATGTATACTGTTTTTGAACACACATTCCATGTCCGAGAAGGAGATGAACAGAGAACGGTGAGCTGTCTGTACAATGTGCTATCCTCTTAGAGTGTGAGAAAATAGGACTTAGGGAAGACATGAAGACATTAATAATAAAACTAAAGTGACTACTTAGATGTTATTTACCAGTGTGCACAAGGCAAAGCTCCTTTGTATGTGAGCCCTTCACCTGTGCAGGTTACTCTAGAAGCCATTGTTTTAATTGCCTTGTTCTCTACTGAGACAGCATATTTGAGGAACTGTGTTGCATCACTGCATGAAGTGGTACTTCCTGTCTAGGCTCTTGATTTTACAAAGTTTGGAAGGATGAGAATTTGGCCAGAAGACCAAATTGTATGTATATGCTCAAACATTTAGGAGCTTTCTCAATCTGCCTGGCATACTTTTAAGGTAAAAAATTTAAACTCCCAGGTTCTAGTCCAGCAAAACTGATAGTTTAGGTCTGAGGTCCAGGCATCTCTGTGGTTTGGGTTTGATTTTTTTTTTTTTTTTTAATGCAACCCCCACATAATTTCTTTGTGTTCACATCACAGATCTTAGATTGGGCAACATCTAGGGTAAAGCTTTCCTGGAGCTAAGCGTTATGGAAATAGAGGTTTATAAAAGATCCTCATCAGTTCCTTTAAGTTTGGGCTTTGATTTCCTTGAGTCATGGCTCCATGCCTTCCACTCTGTCTTCTCATCCTGTCAGTCTTCCCCTTTGTCCCCTCCTCTTTAGCTTCTAGCAGAGATTTCCAGGAACAACCAATCAGAATAGAAAGTAGAGGTTCTGTATGTATCATATCAGTTGAAAGAAGCAGTTTCATGTGCTTGACCACTCCGTAGTTGAGCATGTGTCTAAAGGTGGCTATCCACTCTGGTTCATTGCAAGGCAGTTAGCCTTGAAGAATGAGCTGGTGAGAGTTCTTGGCACCAGTGCTTTCAAAAGTCTAACAGAGTGTTGTACTATGTAGCTGCTAAAATCGCCCTTTTAATTTCTGCCCTGAAGTCGCATCTTCATTTCCTGACATGAGGGAGCAGCTGTTCCTTCATTCAGCAGATAGTAAGGACCTGGGCCAGGCGTAGTTACACAAGCAAAGGTTTTTAGTCCACTTTGAGGACTGGTGATGATGCATAACTGAAGGTGCTTTTCAGATGTCAAGTTTGCTTCATGTTTTTCCTGCTTATTTTTCTAATAGCAAAGTTTTTAGTTTTTAAGAAAAAAATTCCCTTAGCTGTTTCTTTGAATTGAACAATATTGATAAAACTAGAGCTTTAATAGACATTTCATAAAAGCTAAGAATAAATGAGTCACACCATTATGAATTACATAGAGTCCCTTCATGAAGAGAAATTTGATTAGGTGGCGGGAAGCCAAAAATGTTTCTAAATTATTAGCACCTACTTGTTTAATCCATTTGCCTATAAATTTGGTTTTAAAAAGCATTTCTAGTGAAATTTCTAAAATATTTTTCTATAAAGGCAAGTCCCTACTTCTTTCTCAAGTGAGATGGAATTGTTCACAAACTGGAAGGGGTAGAATTCTGAAGACCCTGTGGTGTAGGCATCCATGTTGCTGAAGTATGGGTTCCTTTATAGCAGGCTATTCGTCGTTGCCTGCCATTAAATGGTCGTTAAGCTTTGAGTGGGAACTGAGCTGGAACTTCCTGTTCAGTATTTTTGTAGGACAGATTCACTTCAAGTTTCATGATCTTGCCTTCAAGTGAACCTTTTGTACATACATTATTTAAAACTGCCTTCAGCTCTTGTTTCTAACCCGAAATGGCCAGCTGGCTTGCCTTCCACAGAACATCTGCTGTCTTTGATTTCAAGTTACTCAAAACCTCATTCAGAAGCAGTGTGGGAAGGCTGAACTATTGTGGATAGGCCAACAGAACATCTTCTGTTTTGATTTCTTTTGTACTGTTTCACTGTGTGAACTAATTAAAATGTTTGGTTGTGCTTGGTTGCTGCAGTCTATGGAGTCATCTTTAAAGAACTGATGGGTTTAGGTCTTGGCACTGCCATGTGTTATGTAGTTTTGCAGGAGGTTCTTGAGGTGGTCTCCAGAAAGAAGTAAGGCTTTCTTTTATGTAGGTCCAAAGAAATGGCCATTGTACATGTACAGTACATATGCATATACAATAGCAGGATGTGCTCAAATCAATTTTTTTTTTTTTTTGTCTTTTTGAGACAGGGTCTCTCTGTAGCCTCAGCTGTCCTGGAACTCACTATGTAGACCAGGCTGGTCTTGAACTCAGAGATCTGCCTGCCTCTGCCTCCCAGTGCTGGGATTAAAGGCGTGTGCCACCACGCCCAGCTAATTTTTTTTTTTTTTTTTGATAACAAATCCCTAAATTCAGTAGAGTAGGCAGTAGAACCTCATTCTTATGGGCATAGAGATAGGTTCAGAGAGAGAAAACCACCGTGGGCCAGATTCAGACGAGATCAGGCCTGGCTGTATGTCGTATGGCTGTAGACTAGACCAGTTCAGAGCTGGAGCCGGAAGGCTTGATTCTTACTCTCTGTGGCCTCTCTGGTTATGCTGCCTGTTGTACCCCATGATCTGGCATTTCTGTAGTGAAATGATCTTAGTTATCCACTGAGTGTTAATCTCTTGTGCTTTGGGACATTAACAATGATTTATAAGCTAATGTGCTCTTTTCTTTTTAAACTATCTAGTTCTTCAGTTTCCCTGCTGTGGTTGCTCCATTCAAATGTTCCGTCCTTCCACTGAGCCAAAACCAAGAATTCATGCCATTTGTCAAGGAATTATGTAAGCAAATCCAATTGAGTAATCTCCATGGGAACATTATCAAACAGACCCAGTTTTAGGGAGGGTATCATTTGTTTCAATAAGAGCATAGAGCGAATAAGAATAAATGTGAGTGATTAAGTCCTGCTCTTCTTATAACAGAGGATATCTTACATTGGATGAGTCGGGAGCCAAGAGTCAGCTTTAAGGATCCTTGGCTTCTCATACTGACCTTGGTGCTCTCTTTGCCCAAGGATGCAGGATGGAATGTAGCACCCTGGTGGATCTATAGCCACTGAGTCCAAGCTCTGAAAGGGATCCCAGGAGTTCTGGCCCCCTTACTTCTGTGTTGGGAAAAGGGAAGAAGCCATGAGCAGCTCAGGGCTATGCAAGCGGAGGTGGACTGACTGGCTCCTGTCTGCTGCTTGTCCACTGCAGCTGTAGGTAGGAGTGCTGACTTGGGCTCCAGCAAGGACTTAGTAAGCATTCTTGCAACTGAAACTTACCACTCTCTTGTCTCAGGCTCGTTGGTAAGTTTCCTGAGCCTGTAAGTCTGCACTCAGTAGCATTGAGTACTGTTGCAGTGTTTCACTTTTAACTGGCTTTGTTTTGGATAGCTGAAGCTCTGACCAGGAATGGAGTGTCTCATAAAGTAGATGATTCCTCTGGGTCCATTGGAAGGCGCTATGCCAGGACTGATGAGATTGGCGTGGCTTTCGGCATCACCATTGACTTCGATACAGTGAACAAGACCCCCCACACTGCAACTTTGAGGGACCGAGACTCCATGCGGCAGATAAGGGCAGAGGTGACTGACCTTCTCTTGATGGTTTTAGTCTTATGAGTACTTCCTAGTGACCTGAATTGAATTTGGTGTATTTATATTCCTGATTATTTTTTCTTTGTAATTTTAATGATGGATTTGTATCAGACGAAGCCCAGATTCCCAAATCTGTTTGGTTTAATTATGAAAATTTCCATTAGCACATCTCTAATATTACATAGCTATTTGGATTGCTCTGGGCTTATTCTCCATCAGTGTGCTTTTATGGCTGCTTGATTATTGGGCAAGAGAAATGGCATCCCAAGAGGCTGTTGCCATAGTTTTGTTGGCAAGCTTTTGGAGCTTAGACATTTTTATCATTGTATTTCTATAGAAACATGTATATATATGTGTATAAACTTTTTGTGTTACTCCATTGGAAACAGAATAATATTTCAGTAGTTTTATATAAAGAGAAGGGAATAATGGGATGGGACAAGCACAGTGGAGGTGGGGAGGATGGTACAGGAAAGGACAGAAGGGCCACTTGAATTGACAACTGCCTGGCTAATTTATTAATTTAGAGTACCTATTAGTACTCAGCTTGATGCCAAGTTGTAATAGGAAAAACAGAAGTACAAACTGCTTTTTTCCAAAGGAGTTCAGCTTCTCCTTTGCAATCCATGGGTTTCTGGTTTGACTCTGTGTACCAGTCCTGCCTCCTTTCGACTAACATTCCCAGTGGCTGCAGTTCTCAAGAGTGCAAGCCCCAGACCATCCTCAGCATCAGCATTGCCTAGGAATTTGTTAGGTCTGCAGAATCACCACCCCAAACCTGCTAACTCATTAGCTGGGGTTGGAGAGGGGAGGGTAGATGATGGCAGGCACGCCTTAACTTTAAGAACCACTGCTGGTGGCTGTCACACATCCACACAGCTGGCTTTCTGCCTCCCTTCATGTACTTGGTGGAACACAAGAATTAAACAGGCATGAAGTAAAAGTAACAGAAATGAAGATAGTTAGGAAAGGCTTTGTGGCAGAATTGAATTATGCTGAGATGCTGGGTAGTCTTTGGATTTTCAAGAACCTAGGCTGGGTGTGGTGGGGCACACCTTTAAATCCCCTCACCCAGGAGGGAGAGGCTGGTGGGTTTCTGCCAGTTCGAGGCCAGCCTGGTCTACTTAGGGAGACCCTGTCTCAAAGGAAAACAGCAACAAAAAGAGTGAGACCCTAAGCCTGGGAAGGAATGAGCATAATCAATTAAGGAAGCTGTTTCTAACGGGACATTGTTTGTGCTCTGTAATATAGATCAGGTTTCCTAAACTAAGGGAAATTCCTCTTTCCCAAATGTAAAGTTGATTGATGCTTGGCTTTCTCTTTCTCTTCCCCAGGTCTCTGAATTGCCCAGCGTGGTCCGCGATCTGGCCAATGGCAGCATCACCTGGACTGATGTGGAAGCCAGGTATCCTCTCTTTGAAGGGCAAGAGACTGGCAAAAAAGAGACAATAGAGGAATGAAACAGTTTGGCAACTTGTGACTAGCTGTGCTAATAAAAATAACTAGTATCATGTCTGCTGCACCAAAAGAAAAAAATTGTGATTGCTCCCAGGGACTGTTTTATCCTCAGTGGCTGCCTGATTTTACCCACCACAATTAAAGTTGGAGGAATTCTGAAAAGTTTATAACCCATTTGTTGTGTTTCCATGTTTCCACCAGAGACGGTTCTTTGACCTTTCGTTAAATGAGCTTACTGTTGAAGCAGTATGTCCAAAAAAGTGGCAGCTTTATTGGGGCCTGGTTTGTATGCCTATTGACCTATTTTAAGTGTTCCGCTTGGTATATTTTATAGAGTTGTACATCCACAGTCCAATTTTAGAACATTTCTATCACACATTCTCTTTTGAGGAGGTGATGCACTGTGCTAGAGACAGCCAGTGGAATGGCGCCTGGGAAAGGCTGAGCTGGTGAGCAGGGCAGTGCTAGTGTGGTGTTCCAGGTGTTGACAGAACACCTGTTAGCTTCCCTGGGAGTCCTGGGTGCCACTGGGTCCTTGAGGCCAGAGGAGCCTCAGGTCTCTCATGTAGCTTAGTAGTTCCCAGTGTCTGGTCCTATCTTGTAGTTTGGGCTTAGTTTGTAATGTGCTTTATTACTGTTGTACTTTCCTTCGTGTAGAATACTCAGAAGACATACTTATCTAAGGAAAAAAACTCAGGGATGGGAATTTGTAAATCAAGACCTTGTCTGGTTTTCTAGCGTCCTTTCACAGGACTGAGGACATGTGGTCTCCAGACAGCTTTTGCTGGCCTTGGCTATAAAGAATGGCTGGAGTTGTGATTTCTTCCATGCCACATCAGTGCCCCTGAGAATTCCCTCACTTGCTGTATCATTGCTATGATGCCTTCCACACTGCAGGAATTGGGTGAACAGTCTGGATTAGTGACCATTTGTTTTCAGAGTTGGGGATCTCTCTCCCCTCACATTCCTTACACAGCAGTCTCCTTTCTGGGGGACTGTTTCCTTTCCATGTGCTTCCCTTTATAGTGAGTATGTAACTAGCAGTCACTAGACTGATGAGCTCCTCACCAGAAGATTGATTAAACATGTCATGGGATTTGCGTACCTTGCACCATAAGGGATTCAAACCAAAACTAGTTTCTGCTGACCCAGTCAGTGCCTAGAAGCTGCATCTGATCTGCAAGCCCGCCCTTCCTCTACTCTGCCTGGATGTGGTGGTGTGCTTTCCCTAATGCAATGGACTTCCACAGTGAGGACCATGGGCAGCTGTACAGCCCCTTCGTTCTTTGCACCATACTTTCATGGTGGGCAGAGGGCTGTGTCCTGAGTAGACAGCCTTTCTCACACAAGCTTTTGCATGCACACTTCCACTCATGGTCATGTCTTTCCAGTTTGATGTGTGAGGCCTTTTATTTTTAAAAAATTCTCTTAGATTTGTGTATCAAATGGCAAGCCAAACATAGATTAAGCCTGTCTCAGAACACTCCTAATAGTAATGGGGTGGCTCAGACTAACTGGTTCCATGTAATTTAAGAATGAGCACAGCAGTTGTGTTCTTTACAACTTAGACTATACTGCAGAGCTTATGTCTAGAGAATAAAAGACATGATAGCAGAGCACTGAATATAGATGAATGTTCCAGAAGGAAACTCACCACCAAGTCATAGAAATACAAAAATGAATTTTATTAATTTTGTGAGGTGGTACTTGGCATATCAGATGTTCCAAGTTCTTTGTGATGAGAACACAGATTATTCAATAAATCATTCAAGATAGTAGGCATTCTACACCTTTATCTGTTGGCTAGTGGAGTCTCGGGGCAGTGGAGTGCATGCTTGAGGACCCAGGTGCCCTGGAGATAAGTCCCAAGTACCTTTGGAGAATAGCTGCCCTGTGGTGAACCTGCTGTAGCCAGGAAAAACCATGTATGACTTTAAGAGCATTGCTTCCTGAAGAGCTTGTGCCAGTCGATGTTTAAAGCAGGTGTTTCAGGCATTTACCAGCAGTAAAATGAAATTGAGTTGAAGATTCAGTGAGTGAATGAATAATTTTCCTGCACCTCAAAATTCACCTCCTGTGCCTTTTCAGTAAGTCTTGGTTATTGGACTGCCTCTAAGTGGTAATCATATTAAGACCATGTGGATGGAGTTAATGTCTTCTCTGGAAATTGGGATGTGATTTCAGAGCCTTGCCAGGTTTGCCTCAGGGAATAGCCTATAGCCCAGCCCTTCTGCAAACCCCTTCCCCAGATGGACACACCATTTTTAACCCTGTTCTTTTAAGGGGTGCTGGACTTAACAGTTCTCAGGCTTGGCTGAATATTAGAACAACGTGAGCTTGAAAAATACTCCTTCCTGGGCCTACTCCCTCCCACTAGGGTAGGTCCTGACTGACAGTGTTTTGTCTAGCCTATTTGAAGCCACCACTCAACTGATGCTCTTGGGAACTTTCTTGCTGTGGGTAAGGTGGGACCTTTTGATCCCTCACAGGGTCTTTGAAACCACAACTCCGGGGAGCTAAGGGGGTAGAATGAGCAGTGGGTTTTTGGGGTACCCGAGAGCCTTTTGTCCTTGCTGGCCTGGGGTGGTAGAATTGAAGAGGGATAGAGAGAGATCCTTGCTGGAAACAGCTGGATCCTAGTCCTGTTTTTTCCAGTATCCCTCTCTCCCTCGTGCATCCATCCCAGGCCATGAAGAGGAGCCCAGCTCTTTGGGGAGGCTCAGCTCTCCTGGTTTCTAAAGCCAGCACCTGACACTGAAGGGAGCCAGTGTAGAGCCTCCTCTGCATGTGTTAGGTCTTAGAACTCAATCACCAACAATTAGCTGTAAAGCAGTTATGCTAACTAAGACCATTAAGGCTAATTAAAACAGCTTTTGACTCATCAAAACTCACTGTTCTGCATCTGAGTGAGTTAATTGACAGGGAGATTAAGTAGAAGGGGGGGGGGGACTGACAAGCTTTAAAACATCAAAAATGGAACTCAAACTTTCCATTTGGGAGGACACCATTTTGAAGCAAAGTTGCAAATTTATGTGGTCCGTTTTCCTGTCCTCAGTAATGACTCCGATACCACAGGCAGTCTGTTAGCCCACCTCTACCCCAGATACAGAACGTGCCTCCTCTCAGCTGCTACCCTGGACCACACTGCCATCATCCCCCATCACTTTACTGGGAAGGACTTGTCTGCTATCCTTGCCTCTTCTGGTCTGCATCTAACCTCGTCATGGCTGAAGTAATTCCATTCCTCCTTGTAACTTGGTGACTTTTCATTTCCTTCTGGGAGTGACATCTGTATGTTCTACCTCTACCCAAGCCACCCACTCCCACTGACCCCTTTCCTATTACTGTCACCCCCTGTGCTCTTCCCCATCTACGCTGTGAGGAAGAGAAGCAGTGCTCCCTGGGATTGGTGTTAATACTGGCTTGCTGTGACATGACTACTCCTTGCCTATCACACAACCGTGGTTAAAACCCAGTTCCCCACTCAACAGAAGACCTGCAGCCAGTAGGTACTGAGGCAGGCTCTCAAACATACTGTAGAGTGCTTTTTAAAAAATCGTTTCTTTTTACTTTGTGTGTGTTGCTTGCATGTAAGTTAAGTGCACCCATACGTGCCATGCCCACAGAGGCCAGCAGAGGGCGTCAGATCAGCTGGAACTGGAGTCACAGACAGCTGTGAGCCATTTTATAGGTTCTGGGAACCAAACCCCAGGCCTCTGCAAGAGCAGTCAGTGCTTTTTAACTGGGGAGCCATCTCTCCAGCCTCTGTAGAGATCTTTTTAAAAGAAAATTAAATCTCAGTCCTCAGGAACCCCCAGCTGGAAAAACTTGAGCTTGTGTTGTGAACTGTCAAACCATTGTCCAAGTAACACTGGATGTGATGTAAACTAGCAAGCCATTTTTAAATACTATCATGAAAGTAAAAGTAAATTTAAGAACTTTGGAAATAAGTAAACTGAGACATTCTAGGCAGAGATAGTATAAGATGGAGGGCTTCTGGACACGAGTTCTGGGTCTTGGCTAGACACCCTAGTGCCAGAACTGGCCACCCAGGACTGGCCATGGTTCTGCCTCCTGAACCCTTCACAGGTTAGTGGGGAAATGTCCATGGCATATGGTGAATGTGCCCCTGAGATATGCTCTGCACAGCCTGGAAAGGTAAGGCAACCTGGTGCAGTTGATAGTAAGGTTTGGTGGGTGCTTCCAGAGAGGTTCCAGGTTCTTTTGGTGAGGATCAAGGAATTGGACAGTATGAATTGACACTCCCCTCCCCAAGAAAAAGCCACACCTATGGGAGATTATACAGAGCTGATTGATTAGACCTCAGTGATTATGGAAGCTGACTGCTGCAGACCCAGGGCCAGACTATTGTGAGCTTTCTTGAAGCCCCTTAAATAGCCATTTATTGCCCACTTCAGGATTTAGCCTAACAGCTTCCTTGTGACTGTTAGGTAAAATCTTTTTTGGAATGTACAGACTCTGAGCTTCCACTACAGGCTACAAATCATCAGATAGCATCTGAGGCCTATACAGACACTTCCCCACTTTGCTGTAACCCACCTACCTGGTATTTCCATCGATGTATTTTTATTGATTTACTTGTTTTTATTTTATATATATAGCAAGAGTGTTGCCTGCATGTAAATGTACCTGTGCATACAAAACCTGTGGAGGCCAGAAGAGGGCATTGGACCCCCCCCTAAAACTGGAGTTATGGACAGATGGTTGTGTCCACCGTGTGAGTACTAGGAATCAAACCTGGGCCCTCTGCAAGAGCAACCAGTGCCCTTAACTGCTGAGCCTTCTCTCTAGCCCCACACCAATGTGTTTTTACAGTGCCTTCATTTGTGACTTCCTTTTCTGCTTTGAAAGCTTTGTCCATGGTCACTAGTATTTGGCTCCAGAGTTAGAGCATTCATTTTGAAGTGAGAGCTGTGGCTTTGCATCAGAAACAGATCCTGGATAGTAGGCGACACAGTTGGGCCACAGGGAACCAGAGGGGGCTCTACCCTACAAAGTTAATTAAAACGCACAATTAATTGCTTTGCTGCATTCACAGCAGAGGTTATAGACAACTTTCTGAGTTGAGAATCATTAACTAGAACCTGCCTCTGCTTACTCATTGGTCCATCCAGCTCCTGAGACTGTCAAGCCTCAACTATGCCTGGGA